GCTGGCAAAAGCATTGGGAGGGACAGGGATTTAGCTCAGTGGTGTTGCCGCCTGCGCCGCAAGCACAGGCTCCCAAGTTCGATCCCCAGTACCAAAAGAAAACCCCAAAAGCATTGGGGAAATGTCATTTTCAGCCTTCAAGGATCTCCATCACTGAGGGGATGATATAAAGGCAGGCCCGTAATTAATGCTGAGGACAACACTGCCCTCCTCTCTGCTTTGCTTTGACATCAGAGTGAATGGACTGTTCTCAGAACTCAGATCAATCAAGAGCACCATGGTGAACATGGACAATGGCTTTTGGTTCCCATGGTACCTGATCCCCAAATTATTCATTTTTTTCAACAAGCTCATGAAAAAGTAAAAATCGTTATTGATTAATCCATAGTTTGTATATTTTATGATGAGATCAAGGCGTCCCCTGTAATATACCTTAAATTACCCCCCCATTTTTCATTTCATTTCATTCAGGCTATCAGAATAGCTCCTTAATTAATCTCCCTCATCACAGACTTCTATTCATCTTTTTTAATTTTTTGTTTTTTGTTTTTTGGGTTTTTTTTTTGGTACCAGGGATCAAACTCTGGTCCTTGTGCTTGCAAGGCAGGCAGCATAACCACTGAGCTAAATCCCCGGCCCTTCGTCTGTTTTTAAAAATGTATACATATTGGGATAACTCACTTTCCAGTCCCCCTTCTGTCTCTCTTAGCAGAAGCTCTTTCTCTCAATAAACTTTTCCTACTCTCAACCTCCAAAAAAAAAAAAAAAAAAGTATACATATGTACCTTATAAGTCTTCAAATAACAATGCTTTCATTTTGTTTCTTGCTTTAAAAAAATTCAGCTGCAGTGTTTTGTTAATCACAAAATATTCTCAAACTTTCATAACTTGGCAGTTGACACTTTCTGGACACTTACATGTATTCAACACATTTTTATTACACATGTAATTAATGGGAACATATGAATAAGTAAATACCTTCCCTAAATCCCACTATATCTTAGTTGTGTATTTTCTCATATAAAGATGGACATGTAAGAAATATATAAATGTTTTAAAAAGGGTTATACTTATATTATTGTATAACTTTTTTTCTTAACAAATTGTGAACATTTTTCCTCTTAGGAAATAACTCACATACTTATCATGAATGATCCTGTGAGTATTCTTTAATATGAATGCATCTTAATGTGTTTAATCAGTCTTCTATTGAAATATTTATAAAATTTCCAACTTTTACTATAATAATTATGTGATAAAACTTCATGTGCATTTATTTTCTGAATTATTTCAGTTATGCTCATTGGACTTATCTTAGATGTAGAATTAGAGAGCCAAAAGTTGTAAACTTTTGTTTGCCACATATTTCTAAGTGGCTCTCAAAATACCTACAGACCAAACCTGAGCTCCAATAGTACAGATCACATTGCCTGACCCAAGTACAGTAGAACCAGAAATGGATAATAAATATGTAATTTAAAAAGCCCAACCATTTGACCTCAAAAAACAATTAAAAACACTCTTAATTCTTTGGCCAGAAGAAATTAAAACTGGTATTATACAATTATTTGACATATGATGACCAGAATACATATAATAACTTTTTATATTTCTGCCAAAACTGTACATAAACCAAATATAAACTTTAAATATTTTCAATAATAAATAAAAGGAAAACAAAACCTATAAAGCATCCCACTCAAGTTGGAAAATAATAAATACATCTGGGGAAAGCAAGATACAGATCAAGGTGAAGGCAGGATGGAAGGAATTGGGGGTAGAAATGGTGGGACTGACAGGTTCAAAATCTTGATAGAGCACTTTCCTAGCTTGTGTGAGGTCCTGGGTTTAATTCCCAACCCCTTCAAAAGAAAAGCATTAAAAATCTTGCACCGTGTGTATGTTTGCACATGCGTGTGCATGCGTAGGAATCTATACGGATGTGTGCATTCACATGTGTTCCAAAGCACGGAACACCCCACATTCTGCTGACAGTTCAGCAGACAAGAGAAACTTGAACTTGACTAACACGGCGGAATTAATTGTGATAAACCGGGTAATGCAATTGCCAGTAGTGTGTGATGAAAGCACAAAGGTGGAAGCGATTAATTTAGTAGTGGGCAGATCAGTGAAGGAAACCTTTGCATAGAATGTGACAACCGAGTTGAGCAGAGCAAGGTGGGAGGATTTGCCACGGAAAATGCAGGGAGACCAAGTAAACTCTGGGTGTGGTGGGCACAGGAGGGGATTGTTTTCAAGGTGCTAGAATTTTTCCTCTATGATTAGACATCCACTGGACCATTAATTATTCAGCCTTATCTATTTAATGTGCTATCTTTTAGAGCCGAACTCTTTTTGATTCAAGTACTCTATTTCTAGTAGCCTGCTTTGTTAATAATTATAACAGAAAATACCTTCCTAGAAATCCAACGTGCCGTTTTACTTCTTACCTGCTATTAGCTGATGACATTATTCTGCAAAGATATTCAGAACCTACTCTGTATGCTATGGCAAGGATGTACTGAATAGATCTAAAGGTAGCTGAGGAATAGAGAGCCTATAAAACTAAATGGAAATAGTTCAATTAATTTTAAACATTTAGAAATGTATCTGTTGAATGCTCCAAGCCTGTTATAGTATTTTAAATAATAATTAGTAATAAGAAGAATGAGGTATATAAAGCTTTTTCCAAAAAAAAAATGGTATGTATTTTAATTGCTTTTATTGGTATGAGTTTTTTAAACTCCAAACTTCTAAATTCAGTATGATCTTACTTGGGAAGAGAAGAAACAATGTTATTCCTCCACTGTGTGCATGTGGGCACATATATACCTGTAAAAGCACAGGAAAAGGTGTAGAAGACATAAAAAAGCAGCTGATGAGTTACCAGGAGATAGAGTGGAGGAGTTTTAGGAAAGGTGAAGAAATTAAGATAAAATGAAAAGAGACAATTCATTTATTTCTTCCTCTATATTTGTATTGCTTTGTTATGACCACAACTGGTAATTTTATAATTTTTATAGAAGTATTTAAGTTTTTTTAAGTACTAGGTTGCTATGTCTTACAAGGGCTGCTGTTTGCTGACTATATTGGTGGCTTCTGAGGCTGGCATCCATCCTGGAGAGCACTGGCTACACTGAGAGCTTATTCATGGTCAAACTTGTTGAAAGGTTCACCTTCAGCACTATGTTGGCTGGTCTTTTTTTGTTGCTGTTGTTGTTTTTAAACAAGACCAGCAGCAGGCTCTGAACTCACTATGTAGCAGAGGCTGGCCTTGAACTTATGGAGCTCCTCCTGTCTCAACCTCCCAAGTGCTGGGATTACAGGTGTGCTCTTACCCATCTGGCTCTTGGTGACAGTTTCTTCCTATGTGGGCAGGGGTTGATTATGAAATTTCCCTCCAGTACTAAAACACCGTGATCCCAAATTGTAGTCTATTCTAGCAGGTCTTATTTAGGACCTTTGAAAGGGTTTGTTAAAGTACCTGAATTTCCGGGTTCTTGTTCATTCATTTTTATTGTCCCCAGGGCTATAATGACATATTCACATGGCAAGTATTTAATAGCACAAAAGTTATATAGGAAACAAAGAAAGTAGAGGATGACACCTTGCTCACAAGACACTTCTACTTTGATCAGAAAATATGTGTATCCATCAAACTGAACTGTAAATGAAACTGCAAAAGAGTATAAAGGCCCTACTAAAATTGCTATAGAAGTAAAGAAACAATTATAATATGTGGTCTTTCTTTCTTTCTTTCTTTCTTTCTGATATAGGAATTGAATCTAGGGTCTTCACACTAAGCTATGTCTACAGGCCTGTCTTTTTGTGTGTGTGTGTGTGAGACAGGGTCTCACTACGTAGTTGAGACTGACCTGGAACTCACTATGTAGCCCAGGCTGGTCTCGAACTCACAGCGATCCTCCTGTCTCAGCCTCCCAAGTGCTGGGATTACAGGTGTGCACCACCATGCCCGGCTGGGCTTGTCTTTTTGAGACAGGATCTCACCAAGTTGCCCAGGTTTGGCTTGAACTTGCTGTTCTCCTGCTTCAGCCTCCCAGAGTGCTGGTGTTGCCCACCAGCCTAGGGTTCTTTTGCTGGATTCAAATGGAAATCATGAATCAGTAAAGTGTGGTTCTATTAGCAGCCCTGATGTCACCAGATGACACCAGATAAAGCTGAATCTGGCTGTTGCCACAGCCAGCTGCTGGTCACTGCTTTTGTCAGCTGCTACCTTCTGGAACCAGTTTGTGTTGGACACCATAGGTAGACTACCAAGTGCTGGTCTCTGCAGCTGGTCTTCACTGGCTGCTGGTTGCTGGAGCTCTTTGAGTGTTTATCGTTTTCTTTTGAAAAGACTACTCTGTCCACACTACTCAGGATAAAAATTCCCAGGAGATTTACAGGACTTTTGAGTTCCCATTACTTGAGAAATGAATCATGAGCAGATTTATAGGACTACCAAAGTGAGTCTTTAATAACCAGGGCCTGTGCTGCAGCCCAGGGGGTTCAGGATGCAGGAGGGGGCTCTCCTAGACTAACCACTATGGAAGTGGCTGGGCAGTGCTGCTTATATAGCATCTGCAAGCCCGTGTCAGTAAGGGGCAGGGCTGAAACCAGAGAATCTTCTGGAAGGCTTGCTCTGAGGGTTAGATAAGGGACCCAGAGCTCTCCCTGCCTGACAGTAGCCAGGACAGGATGCCCCTCCAGTCTTCAAAAAACCCGTCAGTAGTGGCGAAAATGGGAGCAGCCAGGGAGGGGCATCACACTGCTTGTGTGGCTGCACTCAGGTTGGAGTGGAGAGAAGGAACTGGATAGTCAGGAAGGATACCATTAGAGAGCCAGGGAGGACACGGAAGCACACCGTCCCAACCCACTGGGGTCAGGGGGAGCAAAGGCAGATGAGGAGACTGGGCAGGACAGCTGTTGACCAAGCCACGCCCCCTTCTCAAACAGGCACCGGAAAAATGAGAAAGTCGGGGCCTTCTCATCTGTCTCACCTGTGTGTGGACCTTTCTTGACTAGCGATGTATCATAGATGAAACCGGAATGCAGAGAAAGAGGCAAAGACGATAACTGGCGAAGGGAGGAATCAACTGACGAGGTGGCCGCGGGAAAGAGAAAGGGAAAAAGAAAGAGTTGACTCGACACTTGCTTAATATGAAAAGCTGAAGTGATAGAGCCCTATGCTCCTCCCAGTGCTAGACATAATGGAAAGAAATAACACCCCAGCAGCTCTGGCTAGAGTATCCCACACCCTTAGGGGGAAACAAACAGAATAGCTACCTACACTCATTCAATGTTAAAGTTAATGTTATAGTTAATGAAGTTGAGATGCTGTGGCTGAAAATAAAATGCGTCTACCCACCCAGCACTTGGTCCTTCTGTTTCCCTATGCTGCCTCTGCGCTGCAAACAAGGTGAAACTAAGTCCTAGGAGTCATCCACCCTCCTCAGGGAAAAGCCGCAGTCCATTTGATTAGGAAAAGTCATCCACCCTCCTCAGGGAAAAGCCGCAGTCCATTTGATTAGGAAAACAAAAGTATATTCCACACATAGGAACTGACAAACGGAGTTTAAAATTTAGCCAGAAAGGCAAAAGATCTAGAACAGCCAGAACAATCTTCAACAGGAAAAAAAAAATCTTGGAGGACACACTCAATTTTAAGACGGGTGATTGTAAGCTATAGCTGGCAAGACTGCACAGCGTCAGTGTGAAGAAAGTGACATATCCGGGGAGCAGAACAAAGAGACTCAAATAGACTGGCACACATACAGGAGGGCTCCAGAGAGAAGACCGCCTTTGCTGGTGCTGCAGTCAACTGTGTTGTATAATTCTTGTAGAGCACTGGCCCTCAATTCAGTGAATTCAACAAATGTATGAATCTGTGTAACCCTCATCACAATATCCTCCACTCTCATCACCCTCGGAGGGGTCTCTTGGGTCTCTTTGCTCTCACCTTCCCCTCAAGCTCCCACTACATAGGTTTATGTCTCTTCTAGAATTTCCCACGCTCGGAAAGTCATGTGTAGACTTTGGTGTCTGCAGTATTTGGTGATGAAAAATTGCAAACATTTCCTTCGAGACTGGGAATAAAACATCATCAACGTCCGTGTCACCACTGTATTGGAGGATTTAGTCAACGAAGTAGGGTGAGATGATAACACACATGATAAAGAATATCGAACTGGGGACCTTGCGCTTGTGAGGCAGGCAGTGGCACCACTGAGCTAAATCCCCGGCCCTCCCTGCATTATCTTTTAATGCTCTATGTGACTTAAATGTTTTTATTCCTTTGACACTAACACTGTCTGTAAAATTTAATAAAAGATTTTTAAAAATAAGGGCTTCTTTTAAGGAAAAAGAGTACCAGATAGTGCACATTTGCAGTGGTTGCAAATTAATTCTGAAACTCAGCACTATCTTTGGAATAAACTACAAGTTTAGCAAAACAATCGTCTTAGAAACAGGGAAATAAAATGTGAGACGATAATGCATTATTTTTTAAATGTTTAAAATATTCTTTCTAAGTGCCGGGTGTGGTGGTGCTTCCCTGTAATCCCAGCACTCCAGAGGCTGAGGCAGGAGGATCGCTGTGAGTTCGAGATCAGCCTGGGCTACCTAGTGAGTTTCAGGTCAGTCTCAACTACATAGTGAGACCCTGTCTCAAAAAACCAAACCAAAACAAAATTATATCCAAGAGATATGCATTCGTGCTGCTAATCTAGGTTGGTTGTTGAAATGTATGCCTTCAAAGTAATTTCAGCTTCCGGTTCACTCATCTGTATTTCTTCTCATTCTGCAATAACTTCTGGTACATAGGAGGCTTCTCAGTTGTCATACATTTCTCAAAGAAGTGCTGGACAGCCAAAAAGTTGGAAATAGAGTTTGCTTTCACAATTCATCAGCAACAACTACCGGAACTGTAAGAATGCACGCAGCTCATATGCCAGCTTGCATGCTGTCTTGGATTCCCCCTACCGAGTGAAAACAGTGGAGAAACATTCACGGAGCTCTAAAGAGACCCGGCTGCAGAGCTTTAGCAGCCTTTAGGATCCTGAGTTTTTGAATGTCTTCCTGCAGAGACACAAAGCTAAAAGCAAACTGTGTACACAGTATGACGCTGGTAATTTCCTCCTAATGGATTTGGGAAAACTAAATGAGTAATAGCATCGTCAATTTGGCTACTGACGTGCCCTCCACGTGTGAGGAAGGTAAATATTTGGCTGTGTGCTGTTCCCATCTTCTCAAACATTGTGTCTACATCCAGCATTTTATTTCTTTTCTTGTGCTGAGGTTGAAACCCAAGGCCTTGCCCATGCTGGGTAAGTGCTGTACCACTGAACTACATACCCAGCTGCCTGGCATGCTAGGTGTTTTTATCCTCCTTCTCAAAACTATCTCTTTGGCATTTTGTGCGTGTTATGTGACTACCATAAAGGGCTTAATGGAACCATTGGGTTAGGCTCCCTAAGTAAAACAGCTGTCCAGCTGCACTTGAAATTTAGGTTTTCTGAAGGCAATGTTCAAGGAAGTCCTTCACAACATAGGGAACAAACATGTTATTGAAAAAAAGATCCATCAAGCCAAGAAGAAAGGTGCAAAAATAAAACATCACCCAGAAAAAAAACCATCCTGCCTTACCCACACCACACTTCTCCAGCGCATCATGTCGAGTCTTCTGTTTATCTCAAATAGGAGAGCAGGTCCCATCCACACTGATAAACTGTTTCCAGGTTCATCTTCAGTCTCTGTTGAATAGATGAGAACTCCTGTGTGATCTTAATGTCTACACAGAACATCTCTTAAGGGGAATTATGTATGTCATTTTATTCAAAAGCACAGAAGGAACTTCATAAAGTTCAGAAGGAGCATCATTATCAAAGAAAATGATCCAAAGTATTGTCATGCTGTTCTGTATTTCTCCTATTTGAACTTAATGTTTCTGTAAAAAATTAAATCACTGATGACATTATGTTTTCTATACTCCGATGACTTCACTATCCCCTGGCAAAAACTATCCCCTGGAAAAAAAAGTCTGTGAGTCACTTGCTCAATGTGTTTCTAGGGAAAAAAGTACACACATGTAAGTGCCATAAATAATGTTTTCTTAAATTAAATTAGAGAATCATATTTTATCATCAAATGATACATGTTCAGAAGTACTGGGCTCACAGTGAGATTGGATTTTATTAAATCCTAAATGAGAGAGAAAAATTTTTACTTATATGCATATGATTGAACATAGCTTTTTGCTAAATATATATGATATACCCAGATTACAAAATTCAAAATATACATGACCTTCAGCAAAACTGGCATACCTAATATGCCCTAGAGCAATAATTAGTAAGTGATATGTACAATACTTCAAAATAAAAATTCATGTTCTTATGGATCATTATATTTCTATAATTAAGAAAATTCATATATATCTTACCAGACCCTGTGCTCCCAGAACAGCTCTCCTCTCCTAAATGAGAATATATGTGAAAAAATGCTCATTGTGAATAAAAGGAGAAACTATTTTTTAATTATGCATCTTATAAAAATAGATCCAAACTCAAGTAATTTCTTTTCCTAATTGATTTTCATTGAGCCCATCCTGCGCACAAGTCATATCCTCCTTCTTCTTTAGAAGTGGGTAAAATACACTTTAATTCTTTGAATATGAGCTCAAATGACAACTCGGGCTATAATAACCCTTTCATTTGGGAATAATCCTCTTCATACCCCTCCCTGACTGGCCCCGCCTCACTCCCTGCACCTGCACATCTAGAAGGTTCTCATACACAAGTTCAGTGCGCCGCAGTGCAGATGCTACAGAAGGAAACACCATTTCTCTGAAGCACAGGAAAAGTCGAGTCTGCATCATTTAACTCCTTCCTGAAAGAGCGCTGGCCACGAATGCTCTCTCGACTGCTTCATTCCCAGCTCAGTGCCTTAGCCCACGGCCATCAGGCTTCAGTTCTCAGCTGGCTCCAAATCCTTTTCCTGATGTCCCCCAAAATGCACTAACTCCCAGGCCCCATGGCTCCCACATGCACCTCCTGTGGAAAATGCCCTGTGATCCTCTCTGGGTGCCTTCAACTGCCTTCCAGCTCTTTTTTGCCACCTCAGCCCCATCTACTAATCCCAGGTTCATCTCCATTCCCAGCCACCTTTGCCTCTCCGGAGCCTATGGAAGGTATCTCCCTTTCTCTTGAATCTGAGAATCTGCTGTCTGCCCTGCTGACCTCACAGAGTGCATGGCCCACGCGTGGCCCCGTCCATCCTGAGCACACCACCACTATTTCCTCACCTCTACTTCCCCTGAAACAGCTTCATCTCTCCTCAGGCAATTAAATCATACTCCCTTATCCCTCTCTCTCACTACTCTCTTACTATCCCTAGTACGACTAGGGATGACCAGAACTAGGATTGACTACTTATATACAGGAAGTACGAGCTTCCAAAATAATAATGACAGCGAGTAGCACGCCAGGCAAGTGTTCTGCCAAGAAGCCACACTCTCAGCCCTTGAACTCACACTCTTAAGCATGTGATTATACTTATTAATGGTTCAGGCCTTGAAAGTTGATGACTAGCCAGATGCTGAGGGGTTGGGAGCAGTATGTCTCTGTGAGAAGATTTCCAAGCGGAGGGGAGGCATCATAGAAGCCAGGGGAAAGCTACCCCTTGGGCCTCCCTTGGTAAGTCCCCTTAAGGACACTGACAATAGAAGAATTAACAGGAGAAAAGATTTACAAATTCATTTCCCTGATGTTACCAGATGGAAGGACCTGTGGGGTTTCATTCTAGGTTTTTGATGTCTTGGACAGAAAATTAGACAAGACACACAGAAAAGGTAGCAAAGGTGTACATTTACTGAAGGTGGAAGGGGATTATGCTCTACAGGATTAGAGGAAAGAGTTTTTTTTTGTTGTTTTTTTTTTTTTTTTTTTGTATCCACAATTCTTGGGTTGGCTTTTCCCCAGGACATTAAGGCATTGGGACATTTGTCCTATTAAAAACTCACTTGGTGTTGCTCAAGGTTTAAACTGTCCTATGGGAAGACTTACTTGGCTTCCCACCAAGATGTCAATGAAGGATTGAAAATAGCACTTTTCTGATTCATCCTGCAAACAGCACCAGATTCAATGAGAGGCTGAAAAATACAGCTCTCTGATTGGTTTTTGGGTACAAGAGCTATAGAGTCATTTTGGACCCTCTGGGTTTCTATGAACTTTGACACATTCTACCCTGTTTGTTTGGTTTGTTCTAGCACTAATCTCCTACCTCATTGGCATCCCAGGAAAATGACACACACAAGTTTGACCAAAGAATTCAGAAACTAGAGTGTAAATGTGATTCTCTGAACCACAGGAAAAATTGAGATACATTATTTAACTACTTCCTGATCGATGGTTCCCTATTTGGGAGCTTTCAGTCCATAGCGGCTTGCTTTCATTTGTTTTGCACCTGTGGTGAGGCAGTAGCAGGAGGGGAGAGTAGAGCAAGCTTCCCACTTCACAGTAGTCACCAAGCAAAGAAGAGAGAGGAAAAAGTTGTGTCTCCACTATCCCCTCCAATGGCCTAACTTTCTCCAACTGGGCCGCATCACCTTGTAAAATCACCCTGGGCTGTCAACCAAGCCTTTAACACAAAGGCCTTTGAAGGGCATTTTAGAACCAAACTATAGCAGGAAAGGTACTGGGAAATCAAGGTAGTTTATAGCCTTGGCCATCCAAGGTTGGATGCAAAGAGCAGTACATTTCAACCTTGGCAACATGCTAAACTCACTCATGCCTGGGTCCTGTCCTTCTTTGAGGTTCCGATTAACTGGCCTGGGGACAGTTCGTGTTTTAAAGGTCTCCTGATGATCCCAATGTATAGCTAAGTTTAAGAATCACTAGACTACCCAATGATGAATGTAACTATACTATATACCTAAAATGTACCAATAAACTCAATGAGAAAAAAAAAAGAAGCACTAGACTAGCCTGGCATGGTGGCACACGCCTGTAATCCCAGCACTCGGGAGGCTCAGGCAGGAGGATCACTGTGAGTTCAAGACCAGTCTGGGCTACATAGTGAGTTCCAGGTCAGTCTCAACTACATAGTGAGGCCCTGTCTCAAAACAACAACAACAACAACAAAAAGAATCCCTAGACTAGAATCTATTTTAATCACTCCTCTGTCCCCAAAACTTATACCCCAAGATAGTTACCACTTCTAATTCCTTCAGGTATTTATAGATGCCTTCCCATTGCCCAATAATTTCTTTCCCCAGAACCTAATTCCAGAGTTCCAATGTATCCATGAAAAGCCAACCCAAAAGATATATCTACTGAACTTCTCTCTCCACTCCACTGCTTGGATTTTATTTCTTTGATGATCCACCCTCTAGAATTTATTCCACTGCTAAAGAAGAGCTATTTCTTGTTGGCTTAGGAGTCTGGAGGAGTGAGGTCATGTCTTATGACTTAGATCTCTAAGCACTTATCCCCCATCCTCACACAGAGGCTCAGTAGGTGAATAAAAATGTGAATGAATGAATCTTTGCACAGCTTTGAAGTATCAAGAAGACTTCATGATGGTTCTTCTTAACCTGTTGATGTTTTAATTATTTCTCTAGTTTCTTGGACAAAATACCTGGCATCCACAAGTTAAAGGAAGAAAGGTTTGTTTTGGCTCAGAGTTTATAGAGATTTCAGTCCTCTGCCAGCTGGCTTCAAGGCAGGGTATCATGGTAGAGGGGCATGGCAGAGGAGAAACAGTCCATGGCAGGGTAAGCAGGAAGCAGCAAGCCTTCTGTTCCTTTTGTCTCATCTAGTCTACAAGCCTTTTGGGTAGTGCCACCAACACTCAGGGTGAGCCTTCCCATTATCCACACTAAGAACCATGCGAAACCAATCAGTGGACTGGTTTAGTACCACACACCCTTAATCCCAGCATCAGCTAGTTCCAAAAAACCCCATCTATAAGTGCATGAGGCTTTTGAGGGGACAGAATTTTTTTTTCTGAACCTGGCTCCATGGGAGTGTGAGTGCTCAGAGGTAGGGGACACAGTTGGACTCCCAGACCAGTACTGGCTGGAAATGAGAAAGATTAATGAAATAGCAGGGTCAGAGGCACAAGATAAAAGTAAGTGAGAGATGGGCTCATATTATGGTTTATATCTAGATGTCCTTCCAAAGCTTCATAAGATTGGAGTTGGAAATTTGGAAGGTGACTGGTTTATAGAAGCATTATATCAGACTGGTTCTTAGGAAGTGAGGCCTGTTAGAAAAGATGGGTCACTGTAGGCATGACTTGAAAGGTTATTTCTCCCTTCTTGGTTACTCTCTTGACTCTCTTTACTTCCTGTCCACCACGACATGAGCAGCTTCTATGACAAGGCCCCTCTGCCATGCTGTCTCTTCTTTGAAGCCAGCTGACCATGAACTGAAACATGAGCTCACACCATTGGCAAGGGGTTCATTGCTTCTGGGTGGGAAGAACAGAAATGATCTTTATTTCCTTCATTATGCTTTCCTGAATTTCCATAATGTTTGCAAATATAGTCATATCTTGGTACTTGATTGCTCCAAAACTCCTTCAATTTGGTACTGATGCATTTTGATGAGAAAATTTTGTCCTGGTAGTAATCTTTTGTTTGGTACTCAATGCATAAGCTGGAACTTAGTGTCAATTGCCTTGTGATTCACTACCCTTTCCAGCCACGTTTAGTATTCATCATTTTGGGTACTTGTTGTGCCTTCCAGAACCAATTAATGATGAGTACCAAGTTACCACTGTATTATACACTGTGGACCCTCAAGATACGACTGGACAGATATATGAGCAACTTGGGTTAATTAGGTTAATGGAAGATTCATCTGCCTATTTTTATTGATACCATGTACCTAGGTAAACATCCAGATTTCAGCTGTATTGACTTACAACCAAATTGAGTTACAACCAGCCCTCAGGAAATGATCAAGGTCATAAGTCAAGGGTCCACTGAATAACATCTTGTTGGAACCAACCTACAAGCTCGCATCAGACCAAGGGGTGGTGAGGTTGAAAAGTAAAAAGACGCAGAATCAGTTTAAACAATGGAAGGCTGAGGGCTCTTGTCTCCCTTCAACATAGAGCCCTGTGTGACTGGTTCACCTTGGCTTTATTCACTCAGACATAGGCAAAAGCAGTTAGAATTACACAGTATTCATCTGTTTCCCACCATCCATGGTACTTGTCCAGGTAAACAGCAGGATCTCAGGTGTTTTTACTTTTCCCTTCAGTGGTCTGCATACTTTCATGCCCTCTTTATTTAGTGCTCACTAAGGAGGCCAGTTAGGCTTCAATCTTCCTATCTGGTCTCCCACATTTCCCCCTTTTCATTTTACAATAACAGCAGTTTCAATATCAATCACTGCTGTTCATCCCTACGGGAAGTTTGTAGGTAACTATTCCTGCGCCTATAGGTGTTATATATCTGTTCTTGTTCTTTTCAAGGGCCTATCCCTATCTGACTACTTCTACTATGACTAATTTAACTGTCTCCCCACTTCTGGAGAGGGATCCCTTAACTGTTGAGAGGGGATATTGGGCACAGGCTGCTCTAACCACTTCCTGCCGAAAAGGGGCGTAGTTGCAAAGAGCAGTCAGAGATACCCTCCAGAGGGTCTACTCAAAGGGCTCTTGATAGACACAAGACATTCTTGTCTTGGGTAGGTGCTAGCAATGAGCAAATCCTTCTGTCTCTTGATTAGTTTTCTTCAGTTCCCATCTCCAGAGACCACAACACTTATGCCTTCTCTCTTATATGATGCTCTTGTACTTTTGACCAATGTAATTCTACCAGGGTGCTATCTATATTACCAACAGGATTCAAAAAATTAAGTGTAAATGTTGTAAAATCAAGGTGAGGCTGTGGCTTATTGTGACTTATTATTGCTCTTTTTTGTTTTTCCAATTGCCATTTTGATATTAAATATGCATGTTCAACAGTAGTTTGCCCTTGTAGATTACAAGGAATTCCAGTGGAATGACTAATATTCGACTGCTGCAAAAATCTTTGAAAGCTCTTGCTTGTATAGGAAAGGCCATTATCCATTTTTATTTTCTTAGGGACTCCCATCTTTGCAAATGCAGAGAGACAATGTTGCTGTATATGCCTTGCAGTCTCACCTGTATGGCAGGTAGGGTGCATAAAATGAGAATATGTATCTATGCTAACATGCACATACTGAAGTCTGGTGAATTGGGATATATGTGTTACAACCATTTGCCATAGCTCACTTGCCTGAAGGCCTTGGGGATTACAGCCTCTGATGGGACTGATGTAGGTAAAGTTTGTCATGTCGGACAAGATAGTATAATGTGGCATGCCTGTGATCTGGAAAAGTTAAAGCTAGAGGTAAGACCTTGAGTACTTTGATGGAAATAAGAGTGAGAGAGGGTTGGGGGTTTGGTGCAGTGGTTCCACCACCTGCCTTGCAAGCGCAAGGGTACTGCTTTGATCCCTGGTACCTAAACAAAGAAACCTTTGGGGCAACCCACTTTCCAGCACCCCTTCCGTCTCTCGTAGACAGAAGCTTTCTTTCCCTCAATAAATTTTTCCTACTCTTAACCTCCGTTGTTCCTAGAATTCATTCTTCAATTTTAGAGAACACAAACTTGTGTTTTGGATATTTAGCAGGTTTGGGAGTTATATCTTTTCCCCCTATATCATTTTGGGGGTCTTCCACCGAGATCACTGGTCAGAGAAAAAGCTTCCAGAATGTTTGGAGACCAAAACTAGAAAGGCAACTGGGCTATGAGGACAGCCAATATTTTGGTCCTGGCCCCTCAAGGTCTACAAGATCCAGGACACAAAGGAACCTTTCCTACAGGATCCTACATCTTTGAGGCTGCCAAACTCCAAGCAGTCGTACAAATGGAACCAAAGACAAATGTGCTAGACTTCTTTTACCAGGATCTATCAAATCAACCTTGTAAACAGCTCATAACTGCTAAACTAAACAATATGACTTCTATGTTGGATTCTGAAGTCCCCTGGGCCTTCTCCTTTATCTTATTTGTGGGCTATATGCGTAGCAATCCTGCTGACCTTGTAATTTGGCCCATGCATTCTTAACTGTTTCTTTGGTTTTGTCTCCTCCAGATTTAAAAGCTATGCAGCTACCAAGATGACAATGCCAGGCACCTACCAAAGGCCTTTAGATAGTTCCTCTGCAGAGTAACTATAACTGCTGATCATAAATATGACCCTCTTCAGCTGGAAGTAGCCAGAGCTGTATTTGCCCTTTGCCCCCTCACAGCAGTTAGAGGTACTTCTTCAGAGGGGGAAATATTACAGATAGGTAAGTTAATTAGATATCTTGTAGGCCATTAGACAGGGCCGTCCTCAAGGAGCCAACATGGAAGATAATCAAGACACATTCACTGAAGGCCAGAATTGTAAAAGGAGAGAAACTACTATATCTTTGTGCCTCTGCTGCTTACTTGTTTCCATACTTGTCTGTGTTCCTCTTTCCATCTGCTGTTAGTGTACATAAACTTTATCTCTATACCCTTGTTTTTTAACATATTGATTCCTCTAACCTCATTACCATGATTAATAGTCATACCACGTGGGTAGCATAGTTTAGAACTTCCAACATCTTGACCCTCCCAGTCTTTGGACCTCTTACTGAATCTTAAAGCCTTCACTCCTTAGATTAAAAAAAATTTATGCCCAAAGATACAAGTAATGGAATATCTTATGTCATATGTGTATATACGCTGTTGTTGTTGTGTTATAATAAATTCTAAGTGGCGCCATTTTTTTTCTCTTACATTAATTCATTTGTTCCTTCGGCAAATATCTGAGTACTACAGCAACAGTACAATCAAAACCTGTGTCTTGGAATGTACATTCTAATTGGAAGAGCCAAACTACAACATATAAGCACTATGTACTGGGGTTGGGGCTTTAGCTCAGTGGTGCTGCTGCCTGCCTCACAAGTGCAAGGTCCCGAGTTTGATCCCAGGTACCAAACAAACAAACAAAACCAAGAAAACCCACTATGTACCAAGCAGTCATGAATATTATGGAGAAAAATCCAAATACAGGTGAAGAGCAGTATCCTGTTGGGTCCTGATATAAAGATGTGTTAGAAAAGGCCTTGGTGCCCTGTAAGCTAAGATGTAAAAGAGTTGGAGGGGTCCAGGTGGATCCCTGGAAGGAGAGTGCTCAGAAGAAGCAGCAAGTCCTAATGTAAGACTGTGCTTGGTTTGAAACAGGAGGCTGGCACAGCTGGGGTGGAGCAGGTGAAGGGAGGAGAAGCTCACTCATGGGTAAGAAGTCCTGCTACCATGAAGCCACCATGCTTAATCGACCATGTAGAGTTGCTGCATGGAATACAGGAGGCAGGCAGGAGCCCTAGATATTTCCTTCTCCAGATGCACTGATCACCCCAGCTTGGTACTAGACGTGTAAGTGAAGAGGCCCCTTAAGGTAGTGCCAGTTCCAGCCATCTGACTAACACATCACAGGAAACATCAAGCCAGAACGGCCACATTAGGTACTTCCTAAAAACACAACCCACAAGATCCAGGAGAGATAATAAATGAATATTGTTTGAGCCACTGAAAGAATACAATTAATTCTTTTTAAAGTAGAGGTTACTGATATTTGAATTCAAATATGTCTTCATAGTGGTTGAGTAAGTGTTTCAGGCCTCTTGCTAACAGTACATAAAAGTTACCAGTAGAGGTCTTACCTGACTAATATTTTTCAGCACTTTTCTGTAAACCTATAGATTAATAAAAGAATTGTTATTTCATATATTAGGATGATAAGTTCAGCAAAAGTTTATCTTGGGTTTTTAGGAGGAGTCTACTTGTTACCTTGAATGAGCAGCCACCATATAAAAACTGAGTACAGGCTGGACGTGATGGCGCACGCATGTAATCCCAACACTCAGGAGGCTGAGGCAGGAGGATCACTGTGAGTTCAA